ACTGGACGAAACATTGCTAAATCTTTCATATTTAATGTCACTTAAGAGAGCTAAACTGGCTCATGAAAATTCAGTTCAGAGTTGAACTGGCTCATATGTTCTGTGACATGAAAATTATACACCAACTCAGTTTATATTAAAAACCAAGCTCACACTAAGTTATTAAGGAACACACAAAGCTGGGTCGTAAATGTAATGGACTGCACAATTAAGAAGACATGGCACTAAAATGAAACACAACAAGCCCAACGATGAGCAAAACACAAGGCCTTTTTGGTATCTTGCTAAAACTGTCAGATTAAACTGAAACATTTGAAATATCAGGACTAATTCCATAAGTGTCAAAACATGTTCTAGTATTTTGTCTTGTTTTGCTTGCGGAATATAACATAGACTCTTAATATCAGTAGAAAATCCCCGTTGAGCCATAGCTGATCTGTTCACATGTTCCCCATCTACAAATCCAGACCAGTAACAGAAAGCCTGCAAATGTCTTAGTCTTCCAAATCTTAAAACCTTTCTTAAAAACCTATATACCAACCTTTTTATGTCTAAGGGGCATTCTCTCCTCACCAAAATGATTCTCCACTGTGTTCCTGTTCGACACCTTGGGTATTTTCATCTTCTTTTGCATAATACTGTGCTCAAATTCCTCAATGCTTTCTAAAAAAGAGGAGAGGAAACAAGTCAGAGACGCAAATAATATTTCATCTCTTTGCTCTGAAATGATACGGTTAAAACAAGGACACATCAGCAAGAGAATATTTTATGAGTTTGGTGGAGAAGTTTCCCAGTAACCTTGTAATGACACAGATGACTAGCTATTGTTGCAATAAACTATTAATGGAGCGTTTAACTTTGCAAAGCGACGTTGATGGTACAGCATCAATATGGTTTTGACAGGCGGGGTCGTCACAGCTGTCAATGTGTGATGCGTGTAGTAACCAAGGCCACTTGGAGAAGACAGACCATATAAATGTGCCTACCTAACCCCTTATCATGTCAAGTGGAAAATGTCCTCAATCATCATTTTAAGATCTTGAATGTTAACTAGGTATTACAAGTTTTACATTGGCTAGGTATGAGAGATGAGCCTCAAGGTCGGCCACAACAGATTGCAGACAGCTTAAGTTCAAGCAAACTGATTTAAAAGCTGTACAGGACTCCAGACCTCGGTCCCTAACAAGATCAGGGTTGTAAGACCAGGTTGAGCCACACATGTAGATTAGTAATATATCTAAATAGTCCTGGTTGAAGTGGCAGGAGTAAAAGTGGCTGGAGGTTTTCATAACTTGAGCTGAAGCAGGAAGTGTCACATGATAACAGATGTGCCACCAGCACTGATTTAAACCACACACAACTCTCTGACAAAGTTATGCTGGCTATAAGTTAACAGTACAATATACTGACGTAAGGTTTCAAGCAAATTGAAGGGCGTAAAAATACAAATGAAACAAAATAAGCCTTACCTGGCTAGCTGATGTGATGACAATAACCTAGCTGCTTGAGCTAAAAACAAACAGTTAATATTCTGAAATTTCTGGTTATCATATCGGCCTTTTCTGTATCTTTTATCGGTTTAGAAAGCCTGTTAGAGTTAACAGTGATTTTATCAGCGATTTAGCTTTTATGCACCGCCGATAAATGAAGGAAGCGTTAGCAGCAAGCTAACAATCGCTTAGCATCCTGAGCCTATCTCTGCATTAAAACCCTTTTCTTTCGTTTCTACTTTCACGAACTTATTCAGACGTTTTCGACACGCAGATCCTATAGTTTATATTCAGACTGCTGTGCTTGTCAAGCACAGACATTATTACATCTCTCTATTACACAAACCCCGCAATCACGATGAGCTAAAAACACAAGAGCAATCAAGAAGACATCAAATCTATGACATTCTCCTTCTATATCCATTGAACACATTTATCATTTTCTCTTAACACCCCAATACATGCGTGTTAAAGCATGTTCATGCAGGTCACATCATATTAACAAAATACTAACAATAACTTTTCATGTTACGCCATAAATATAATGCTTCACATAAAATGCTTCATGCACATGCAAATCTGATTTATATTAAAGTTGCATGACATTTCTGGTGAACCGTTAAGCTTTTATATACTGTAGCATGCGTGTTACTGTTATTTATGAAGGTTATTATTATAGTCAATAAGAAGAGAGGAGCAGAACTCACCTGCCAGGGCGAGGATGTGTGCTTTGGCAGGCTGGCCTGCGCCTCTCAGCACCACATACACCTTCTGATCATCAAAATCTCTTTTGTGCACAGGCTGGAAATCTTTCACGTCTGACACAGGTAACGCGTAGCACATGTCGTCCTCCAAGAAACGCACGAAAGCGTACATTATTTTTGCTCTTTGGTCCCTGCTCTTTGGGATAGGGCTTGACAGTTTCCCTCAAAAAAGATATTAAAAAACACATATAAACACAAAGAGGGGGGAGACCGTGGGGAGGCCTCTGCGATCGACTGCTTCTGTCTGGCTGGTGCGTATCAGTTGAGGAAGTGCAGAGCCTGGTGGCCACAGACTGAACTAATCAAAACAGATGTGATGAGAAGTTTATTTTGGCCTTTAAAATGTCGTTTGCCTTTAATTACAAAAAAATAAAAACCTTAATAATGATAATAATATTGCAGTGATACAGTAGTATAAAACAAGATAGTATAATAATAATAATAATAATAATAATATATTTTAGATTTCTGAAATGTGATGTATTTAAAGGGGACATATGATGTTGCTAAAAATAACATTATTTTGT